AGAACCTCATTGTTTGTTTTGAACCCTCACTTTATTCTTTAACCCTTTTAAATGTTCTTATAATATATGCTGCTTTAGGTCATTTAAATATCTGCAGCCTTTTAGGGGGAGGGGATCTAATGCTATAGTTTTTTCCTGATGACGTATGGATTTTGTTTAGTAGTTATGAATGGCAAACTCATGTTTGTGAAGACCTGGGTTGAGTGTTTCTCCTTCTCAGGGGCAAATATGCCAGCTTCTGCTATGTGTTAGAGCAACGGTTCTCAAACTTCCCGATGCCAAGACCCTTTAATACAGGTCCTTATGTTGTATGTGGGCGGACCCGCCTGGAGACAGATAGAGGAGCAGTGTCTTGGTTCCTGAGACCATCGGAAATATGTGTTTTCCGACGGTCTTAGGCGACCCCTGTGAAGGGGTCGTGACCCACAGGTTGAGAACTGCTGTGCTAAAGGATGTCATCTCTCTGGGGTCACAGAATCCATTCCTAGGCTCTGGAGATATAAAGAGAAATAAGTTAAGGAGTTATTGCATTTACAGTAACTCTTAGTAAATTTGAGTTTGAAATGACATTTCTTCTCCATTTAAATTTATTGTAACTTGAAAGTGTTCTGAACAAAACAAGATGCATGGTTGAAGTTGGTCCCTTAATAGTTTGTTTTGTAGTTGTATTTTTCATTTTAAAATTTGCTTTTGAATGTTTTAGTAGTTACTCTTGATATAGCTCACACAGATTTTCATTTTAGTAACTGAGTCATTTTTATAGTTAGCACATTCTATTCATCCACTTTGGCTTATTCCAAAATGGTTGAGACTGCGTTTGTTATATCTAAGAGTGCCAGGAGTCTACTCTACTTTATATCAAACAAGAAAAGCTTTGACCCAGATTGCTCTTCTCCTTGCAATTATTTCTTTGTGTAAAAGGAAAATTACTTTAAATGTTATAAATAAAATGAAACTGTTTTATGAGGTTCAGTTAATCTTACATTTCCAAGGTTCCATGTCAATGCTGTATTTTATAAAAGTGTATTTTAGTTCAAACTGTTAAGTATAATGAGTACTGTGCATATAAACACAGTCGTTTTTATTTAATCATTTAATCATATACTTGTAGAAAGAATATATGAAGATAGTCTCAAATGCTGGTCTGAGAGCTAACTTGAAGCGTGGCCTCTTGTCTGTTCTCCTTTCTAAGGGAGTCATAATGAAAGCTGTTGCTCTAGGTTATGATGAACAGCTTAGCTGACCAAAAGATATTTCAGACTTTATATGAAAGACCATCTTTCTATAAGCAACCCATTAGCTCCCCACCCCCTGGGTTCCTGTAAAAACTTCTGTGTTGCCTTTTAATGATTGGTATCTGAAAAACGTCAAAACATTGATTCTCAGTTGTAAGTTTCTTGTCATAGATTAATCAAGATTGAACATCTGTGGTACTGCATTGTTCCCCCCCCTTTTTTTGTTGTTAATTTTTTTTTTTAAAAAAAAGCTCTCATGAAGGGCCCTTGGGACAGATGGCCCCTCACTGTTGATGGTTCGATTACCACGATCACCCACAGCTTCAGAGGAGTGCGAAGAAAAGAAATTGCTTTCTTTGTCAAGGTGTTTTCAATTCAATTCTCACCCATTAGCCCTGTTTGGCTAAGTTTGGAATTACTCCGTTTGGAATTACTCTATCAGGTGATTGATGAAGGTTTTCATTTTATTAGAATAGGTCTTGTTTAAAAGGAATGGAAGAAGCAAAATGATGTATCTAACCTGCTACGAATTATATTCTAAAGTTCTTTGAAGTTCCATTTTCATTGCCTTAGCTAGAATTCACTTAAATCAGAGCAAAAAGGGCTCCATTGTTTGGAGTTGTGAAGCTAATTTTAGATAATTCTGGGAAGAAACCTTGAGAAAGGCTGGAATTAGCCATGAAATTGCTTTTTGGATTTGCGTTTCAAAAGCACCCAAATAATTTTACAGTAGGAGTTGTTTGATTAGCCACGTGATTCTTCCCCAGGAAGAGAATTGCAAGGGGATCATTAGATGTTTTCTGTGCCCACTGCTTGTGTGCATTTTTAAGAGGTGAAAGAAACTGACCGATTTCCCAAATTGCCTGCCTTTTATTTTGAACATGAACATGATGTAAAGCAGTTAGTAGAAGCATGGCCTCTGCCACTTTGCAACTGGTGATAAAGTAAAACATCGTAAAATGCTCATTTCACTTCCTTAAGCCTTTCCTATCTGTAGGTCAATCTCAAGCAGGAATTATTTTAGCTCTAGAATGAGAGGGGATTGATTTGAATCTAGGAGCAATTAGTATCTTTTTCTGGGTTTCTTCACCTACAGATTCCTCAGGATTGTTGAGAGCAAGTCTGTAACATATGTAGAAAATGTCATTTATGTGGTAAACTTGGGTAAACAGATGAGACTGTTCTTCCAGGTCACCTTAGAGAGATGGAAGGAAGGATTGAGAGACACAGAGGGGAGGAGGCAAATTGATTACATCCTTTTCAATACCAGCCTCTGATCACAGACAGAAAGCCTTGTTATTCATAGATAGGAGCAGAATTTGAGCTGCCTAATTCCAAAATTCTGAATGCTCCATTTATTTATCTTGCCTTATTTCTCAATCCTACAGTCTTCATATATATGCAGTAGATTTTCTACTGAAAACCGTTTTAAAATGCATTAGCATGATTTCATGTAACATTGAGTAGTAATGGATTCAACAGAAAAAAAAACCACTTCCCTTTTTATTGGCTTTAGATCAGCAAATAATATCTATAACCACATTTCTGTTTAAATTCTCATTTCATCACACATGACTGACAGAAACCTCAGACCTTGACTGAATCTACCAATGATTTCTTGCTCCTCTGTGGCTGGGTGATGATGGGGAAATGCCACTTTGTTGCCATTAAATGCTGGGTTGGAAATTTACCTAATTGAATACTCAACTGTGCCTGAAACAGTTATTTCATATCTTCTTAAGCCTCCAACAACCCTTCTTTTATCAGAGAGCTTTGCTCTCCTACTTCACAGAAAACAGCTAGCAATTTTATTTTATTTTATTTTATTATTTTATTTTTTTTTATCCTCATCGAAGGACATTTTTCCATTTTTTGTACAGATAGAGTGGGAGGGAGAGAGAGGAATTGAGAGAGAGAGAGAAAAACATCGATGTGAAAGGGACACATCGAGTGGCTGCCACCCGCACGACCAACCAGGGCCGGGGACAAACTGCAACCGAAGTACGTGCCCTTAGCGGGAACCGAACCCGGGTCTCTCCGGACCGCAGGCCGACGCTCTAACCGCTGAGCCAAACTGGCCAGGGCAAAACAGCTAGCAATTTTACACAAAACTTTTATCTTTGGCCCTGGCCAGTTTGGCTCAGCGGTTAGAGTGTTGGCCCGTGGACCAGAGAGTCTCGGGTTCGGCCCCCACTAGGGGCGCCAACAGAAAAAAACAAAAACCTTTTATCTTTGCACCCCAAACTTGAAAATCTTGGATTGAGAGTTTCTCTCCTCTTTTCTTTTTCCTATTAACAATGGAAAACATTCTCCAGCTTCTATCCAAGGCTCATCTCGTTATCCTGATCATGACCCAACCCTTTCCACCGCCTCGGGGATAGTGTATCCCTTCTTCTTTGGCTCTCTGCTGGTCCATCGATTTTCATGATCATTTGAACATGTTCGAGTCTGCACCCATCTAAAAGAAAGAAAGAAAAAAGAACAACAACCAAATCTAGCTGCATCTCTCTGTGTGTCTCTCTGTCCTTCCACCTTTACCCTCACGTTCTTTGTGCGTGGGCTTTCTTAAGTAGGTTGCCTCCATGCCCTGGCCCCTTTTCTTCATCCTCACTCTTTACTCTTCTTTAAATCTGCCCTCCTCTTCCTGTCCTCTCAGTGAGACCCACTCTGTGGCTTGATGCTGCACCTACAGGAGCTCGCGCCATGCTTCATGTTTTGCCACATTTGTTTGAGAAATTTTTAGACATACTCTCTTCCCTTGTATGTAAACAACGCACCCTCTGGCTGTATTTTCGTACCTTCCTAGTTGGATTTTTTTTTTTTTTTTTCCCCCTCATTTGGTTGATGTCGCTGTTGCTTCCGTGGGGTTTCCCTTGCGATCTCAGATACATTTTAGACTCTTGTCTGGCCCCTGCCCTCCAGCTTGGTCACTGGGCATTCTCCTGCTCTGCATTCCGGATACAGTGCTTTTTGTTTTTTTCTAGTTGCTCAGACATATTCTGCTTTCTTTTGACCTCCAAGACTTCATGCATATTGTTTCTCCAGCCTGGAATGTTCTTCCCAGCCCACTTGACTGCCCAAATCATCCTTAGTCTAACTTAAGTGTTAGTTTACATGTACTTTCCTTCCTGAGTGGCTAAGTGACTCTCTAGATTAGATTAGATTTCCTTATGGTACCCTGTAGTATCCTGTTTCGTTGTTTTTTGTTGTTGTTGTTGTTGTTGTTTGATTTGTTTTTGTTTTTTTCATTCTAACACATTAAATTTCATCACATTGTATGCTTGGATTCCCTTTATTTTCTATACGTTGAGGGACCCTATTTTGTTTAGTTCACCATTATATCCCCATAGGTGAAAGAATACAAATTCTACATTTTATTTAATGGGTCTTGCTCATTTGCTTTCAAGAGACATCATCCTTGGGAACATTTTTGAAGTTACTAAGCCAATGACTTTTCAAGTCAAATCCAAGTCTTGCTACCTTGTTTAAAACAAGGCTTTTCACCAAGTTATTGATTTTTATTTCTTCCTATTCCAAGGTCATTAAAAGTTTTAAAAGATAAAAGTATTTAATTTTGATTTTTCTCTACGGTACATGTTTAAAGAAAAAAACATTTAAAAATTATTTAGTAGCTCTGACAATTTTAAGAGTATTTTAATGACTGTTTCTGTAAAAGTATTTTTGTTGCTGTTTTTCTTTCTTTCTTTCTCCTTTTTTTTTTTTTTTTAAAGCCTCTGTTTAATGCCATGTATCAATTATTTACAGATCCGGTGGTTTTGTGGAAATTCCCAGAGGACTTTGGAGACCAGGTTGGAATTACATACTTTTTAAAAATCATTTACAATTGGAGTGTTATGATTATTACTGCGGTTACTGCTGCTATTACTACACATGAATTGCTCTCTGTATTTTGTCTTCATCAACTTAGAGAACAGAGGCCATGTGCACAGAATATACGTGGAAAATCTTGTCCGGTTACCCCATAGATGGGTGATGAAGAAGTCCTCATAATGAAACTAACAGGAACTGGAGATTCAGTTTTATCCTAGTTTTACACTCTTTAAAATCTATTTATGGGATCTGTATTTGGAAACATTTAAAAGTTTCCCATCAAAAAACCCACCAATGTCATACTTGGTGTACTACCCTCCTAGTATTTCTGTCTACTTAGAAGGAACTAGTGACTGCTGTAAACAAGTGGTTGTAACAGCAATGTCTGAATTATTTACATTTGTAAATTGAATTGACAGTTTTTTTTGTTTGTTTCTTTTTTTTGCCCTTCTGGTGTGGCTCGGTTGATTGGGTGACGTCCTGTGCACCAAAGAGTTGCCAGTTCTATTCCTGGTCAGGGTGTGGGCTGGGTATTTGGGTTCAATCCCCTGCAGGGGGCAGCCAGTAGGAGGCAGCCAATCAATGTTTTGCTCTTGCATTGATGTTTCTCTCTCTCTCTCTCCCTTCTTCTCTCTTTCTAAATCAGTGGGAAAGAAAGAAAGAAAAAAGGCATTTTCTTATTTTTAAATGATTCTAATCTATAGCTTTATTTTCTTAAAAGAAAATGAGACTTCAGAATGAGTTTACTCCATTTGTACTTTAAATTATAGTCTTCTTCTATCCATTCAGTGTTTTGTCTGACCATGCTGATGAATTATTTTGACATGATGTACATAACCAGAACAGTCTTTAAAAATGTATATTATAGATTTATTATTTTAAAGTGAATTATATAACATATGGTTAAAATAACAAATTTTAATTTTGACAGAAATTAGCACTTTTTCTGGAAAATGAAGAGCAAATTCCTTTTAGTTGTTTTCAGAAAATGGAATAAAACAATCCTCGTCACTGTTAAAATGATAAAATTATAATAGTACTCATTTAACCATATGCAAAATTCACAGATATAATTTTCATAATTTATAAAAATAAAGGCTGATACAAGTCTCTGTTTAAAGCAGTTCATTCAGAAACCATTAGACAAACCCAGGATTTTGAGATCAGAATACAAGACCAGGAGATGATACTGAAAATGCAGTTACGTGGGCATGTTGACTGTCAGTTGGGTCCAGTGCCATTCATGACTGTTCTTTCACATAAGAAGGGGTGAGGCCCTGGCTGGTCTGGCTCAGCAGTTAGAGCATTGGCCTGCGGACCAGAGAGTCCCGGGTTCAGTTCCTGCTAAGGGCACGTACCTCGGTTGCAGTTTGTCCTCGGCCCCAGTGGGTCGTGTGGGTGGCAACCAGTCCATGTGTCTCTCTCACACCAATGTTTCTCTCTCTCTCTTCTTCTCTCCCTCCCGCTCTATCTGAAGATAAATGTAAAAAAAAAAAAAAAAAGTCCTCAGGTGAAGATTAAAGAAAAAAAAAAAGAATGGGGTGTACACTCTTAATCTATTTCTAGCCCTTTACAGAAAGAATAGAATTATAAATATCTCAAGGAAATCAAAGATGTCCCTACAGTGAGGACGTGGTTTGGGCATAGGAAGCTTTATCAGGTTTGTCCCCAAGTCCTGGACCATTAGGCTAGAGTCTTACTGACTCATTTTACCCTTTTGAAATACTGTTCTTCTCTGTCTTCCCCTCTCCATCCACTGGCCCAAGAACAAACCTCCTGTCCACGTCTTTGTGCGTGTGCATGTGTGTGTGCGGGTGCGTGTGTGCATGTGTGCACACGTGTGCGCGTGTGTGTGGTCTCCATCTCTTAAACTGCCCCGAGAACTCCTGGGGGATGCGAAGACTCCTGACTTGGTTCACACAGGGTGACAGTGTGCTCATGGAGCCCGGGGCAGGGAACTTCTCGGGGACACCCACGCTGCTGTTCTGCTCTGACGGATGCAGTGCTGATGGGGATTTTCTAGTTGGGGCTGAATCGTTGCTTTGTTTTCCATGCTCGTGAGGTCAGTGGGACATTAATAAGCCCTCACATGCTTAGTAAAACACTAAAGCAGTTAGCCCTGTCATGGGGCGGGACCTTCCTCACCCAGGATTCTCGTTCACGGCAGTTCTCATCGACCGTTTGAAGGTCAGAGCTGAGAGAAGCTTCAGCTACCGCTGTGTCTAATGACGTGACTTTGTGACTGAAGAAACCAAACTTTATATGGGACTCTAGCCACGGCCTTGAAGGACGGTTCTGCTCGGTGCTTCTTGGTGACACAACACCCTCTGTGCGTTTCTCGTTCTTCTCACCTGTTACCCCTTTTCGGTGCCAACCGTCGCTCCTCCCTGAGTAGCCGCGGTCTTGCTGGGCCCGAGCCGGCCTCGTGGTTCATCCTTAGCGACCTGCTCCTTGAGCGCTTGCCGTGCACTGGGCTCTGAACCAGGTGCTTTCGGCGTGTCATTCAGTTCGTCTCCCAGTTCTCCCAGCACTGGTGGTGTCCTCGGACTCGGTGTGTGTAAGAAAGTTGCCTGGAATCACACTGCTTGCAAGAGGCAGCACTCAGATTTGAAGGCGAGTATGTCGACCTCCAAGGCCCGAGCGGGTAACAACTAAGCTACATTGTTGCTATGCTTGCAACACGCATGGAAATCCTACTCCCTTCTTTGAGCCCCTTTTTAAAAAAAGTATTTTAATTTGATTTTATACAGAGGAAAGGAGAGAGAGAGAGAGACAGACAGACAGACATCAGAGCAAGAGAGAAACATCGATCGTTCCCTCTCTCATGAACCCTGAACTGGGTCAGAACTTGCGACCTGAGCATGTGCCCTGACTGGGAACTGCACCTGCAACCTTTTGGTGCACAGGATGATGCTCAAGCAACTGAGCCACACCTGCTTCATCCCTTTTAAAAAAATGTATCATCATAATTTTTCTCAGTATCTTTATCATTTGAAAGCCATGTGTTACTTAATCCAAAGAAATCCTATGTATCACCTCTACTTTGATCTCTGTGTAGTGTGTTCTCCACAGCATCGCTAGGATGCTCTAGCAGACAATAGAATGATCTGTTTAAAAGACCAGCCAGTACTCCTGCCCTGCCCAGTTTGGCTCGGCGGTTAGAGCATCGGCCCCTGGACCAGAGAGTCCCGGGTTCGGTTCCTGCTAAGGACACGTACCTCAGTTGCAGTTTGTCCCCAGCCCCAGTTGGGGTCATGTGGATGGCAACCACTCAATGTGTCTCTTTCATGTCAATGTTTCTCTCTCTTCTCTCTTCCTCCCTCTCTCCCTCCTGCTCTTTCTGAAGATAAATGCAAAAGGGTGAGGATAAAAAGAGACCAGTCCTCCTGCTACGACCACTGCTATCGTTGGTCTCTTCCAACGTGCGGGGCAGTTCTGTAAACCCCCATATTAGCCCATGGAACTCACAGGACCCCTGTGAGCGACGGGACGACTAATTCCCACTTTCCAGAACCACAGCGTATGTATTTTACACGGCCAGAGTCACACTAGTAGGTGTCAGAACACTATTCCGAACCCAAGACTGTGACCGCAGAGCTGTGGTCCAAAGACTTACTCAAACTTAAGACTCCCCCTTGGCACCTTCCACATAAAGCCCAACCTTCTCCGTGGGATCAAGTCCTTTGCGGACACCTTTAACCTCTGTTCCTCCCTCTCCCTTTCCCTTCTCTGTGAAAACATGCGCGTGTTTCATAGTGAACCCCCGTGTCTGTTACACGCCATCCATTCACATTCTGTCCCTGACCACGCGAGTCTCTGTTTGAAGTGCTAATCTGTTCACAACCCCCTTGGCCTGTCCTCTGTCTTGGCTTAGAGTCATTTCCTCCAAGGAGCCTTTTTTTTTTTTTTTTTTATGTCCCAGGTCTGGACTGAATGGACCTCCTGGGAGCTCCCTTCGCATTTTATGTTTCTCACATTACGGCTCTGATTAGATCCATCATCCCTTTACTTTCTATTTACCCCACTAGACTGTCTTGGGGACTCGTAATAAGGGATGCTTTTGTAAAAAAGATAAAATTATGACTAATACAGATGTGTGTAAGATTTTATTTTTGTTGAAGGTGATTTTTAACCTATTCATCAATGAGCATACCAGTAAAATATTACAACCTGATCAAAGGAGCGTTCAAAGTACCACAATGTTTTTTTTTAAAAATACGTATTTGATTTTTTTAGAGAGAGAGGGAGGGAGAGAGAGAGACACTGATGTGAGAGAGACACATTGACCAACTGCCTCCTGCACGCCCCCTACTGGGGATTGAGCCCCAAACCTGGGCATGTGGCCTGACCAGTAATCAGTCCGGGCCCCCTCAGTCCCTGGATGACGCTCAGTCCCCTGAGCCACACCCGCCCGGGACAGTGCCGCAGGGTAAAAGGTGAACCAGGAATGCTGTAACAAGTGCACCGATGGGAATACAAGCAGCTTCCTTGCCTGGTGGGGTGGGGAGGGAACCAGGTGGCCCTCCGTCAGGCATGTCTGTGACAGGTATCGTTTGCAGTGCTACTGTTTATCTGCAACTCACAGGTCATAACACAGGACACGAAGAGTCCTTGGAAGAGTACATCAGCCCATAGCTCGTTCTCACTGAAGACAGTCCATCATCTTTGGTCCGTTTCAATCTCTCATAATTTTTCCTTATAGCCTTCCTCCTGCTCCTGCAACCAAAATACTATCGAAGGAAGATTATTCTAGACCAAACACCGATCAGAAAAGTCCCACTGGCTTTGAGCTGATGGCTTACATCGGTGCGGCCAGTGTGCTCATGTAACCCCCATGTCCGGAGCACGCCACCTGCGTAGAGCGCTCACGGCATCCACACCGTGAACTTCCTTCTAGAAGTTTCCCTGCGGAATTTCAGATTGGACTTTTCAGAAGTCTCTGTTTGTTATCCTAAGTCTAGGAAACCAGGCCCAAGAG